GAGAGAGAGAGAGAGAGAGAGAGAGAGAGAGAGAGGGGGGAGGAGGGAGGGATAAGGGGGTTATTTTTTACTTTTATTTCATGCAACTCCTAGACCTTGTCTAAAAGTCTCAAAGTAAGTCAGTTGTGTTGATAAAAGAATCATTCGTCTGTTATTCATTGTGGGAGATGTACAAACATTATTCCCCCCCCCCTTTTTCAACGTCAAGTCTACCCAGCATCTACTCTCAGTTAAGCATTTATATTTTCTTTTAAGTCTAGAATCTTACAATATTTTCTGAGGTGAGGAGTACTAAAAGAACACAAAAACTGCTGACAAAAGTACGGACGCTCTTGAACGCACAAGTACGGTACCAGGTGAACGCTGGCAGAGGCAGGGGGAAGCACCCTCGTGAGGTGCAGGTAGGAGGAAACAGACCAGGCCGGGTACGCGGGTCTGGCACTGATTCACCTTCCCCCTGTTTACATCACCCGACAAAACAGCGCCTTGAAACACAGCCAGGTCTTGCAAGTCTCTACTTAATGCCGCTGGGGAGGCACCGTGATCACAACAACCGCGAACCCTCTGGAAACGTCTTTCTATAGCGCTCTTTCGCTCTCCTGTCCTATCCTAGATGTCTTTCTCTCTCTTGCTCGTTCTTTCTATCACACACACACACACACACACACACACACACACACACAAACACACACATACACACACACACACGCACACACGCACACACATAAAACCTTCCTCACTCACTCTGCCTACTTCAATCTCCCCCCGACCTCTCTCTCTTTCTCTCCCTCTTTTTCTCCACCCCACCTCTCTTTTTCTCTCTCTCTCCCTCTCTCTCCCCCTCTCTCTCTCCCTCTCCCTCTCTCTCTCTTGTTCTCTCTCTCTCTCTCTTTCTCTCTCTCCCCCCCTCTCTCTCTCTCTTGTTCTCTCTCTCTCTCTCTCTCTTTTCTGTTCCCCTTCTATCTTTTATTTCTCTCTTCGCCCCTTCTCTTTCTACGTCTTTCTCTCGACCTGTGTCTCTCGTCGTCTCTCTATATCCTTACATCACTTTCCTCCTCTTTCTTGTAATCGCTGTTTTTTTTTAGTTCTTACATTTGACCAACAAATAGAAAGTTCTAGAGCGTTTTCTGCGTCTAAGTAAAAGCGTACCAGCTCAGAGAACTGCTCATCATCGTCACCACTGCCTTTCTCACACGGCATCAGGGTATAGGCCACGAACAAATACGTTCCAGCTTTCCCAGGAAAATTAAGTAAGAAAAGTGGTCGGTTATGCCACCCAGCATTTCCATGGGCCTCTGTCTGATCACGTTATTCCAGTCTCCATCACCCACCTTCCTCATCCCGTCTAGTACTCTTTCTACAATCAGATTGCGTCAATGCTCAGAGCTTTTCTCCTTTGGTTTACATTGGTGTATTTTACCTCTTGTCTATACTCAACCCAACAGCAATATCTGCCACATATCTTTTTTATTCTACACTCGTATTTTGTTTCTCTTTAATAGGATGCAAAAAAACCCTGCCTCTACAAATCGTTTTTCATCTTGTTGCGCGCTCGTTCATATGTTATTTATGGAAAACGAATACGGTGCGCAATTTGATTTCGTGCTGATAATGCTCGTGAAACCTGTAACTTGTTTTCAGGCCGTGTTCCGGGTATTTTAAGCAGTTTTATCCCCCCCCCCCCCCTTGTCTGGTTTCCACAAGTTTCAGAAAATTCTTGATCCTGTACAGTTGCTTTAGCCAGTATGTTTGCTAGTTTGTTTTATAACAGGGAGAGACACCGAAGAACAGGAAACCTGAGCACTTAGAGCGTCTTGTTCTTTATAAGCTTTCTGAACAAAACGTATTTCAACAACTCTTACCGCAATGCATGATGTCAGCTATGTTGCAGGGTAAAATAGAGGCAAAGAGATAAAAAGTAAGACCCCTTGCACCATACGTTTGGACACATAAACTCCGACAGTGGTTTACAACTTCAGGAAATAAGAAATCAAATCAGAGACTGGAGAAGATGGAGGTCTGTTATGGCAAGGCGTGGGGCACCAAAGGACGATCACAGCCATGGTGAAAGGTGACAGGTGATATCATGCTAGGGCTGACAGAAGTCTTGCATTCTAGACCATAATTTTGAAAATACTTACTCCACGAACACATACCTCGTACTAGGTGAAAGCGTAGAATACCTGCTCTAGAATTATACCTTTACCTATTTGACAAAACCATTATCTCAGCCAACGCTGATGCGCCAGTAAGCAAAACGTCTCTCCATCGTGTATACTAAATATTTATGTCGTTTTCTTTTGAACTACTTACTCCCGTCCTTTTTGATTTCTGCATCGTTTATTGATTTCACTATGATCTATCTCTTTTCGGTCAGTCCGAGATTTATCCTAGGCTGAAGTCGTTTATGTCTGGATATTATTTTCTTTTCTTTTCGAAGTCAGACCTTTATTTTTTTGACCGTGTTCAGCGTAAAATTACAAGTAGCTCAAAAAATACTCTACATAATCCATCTTTTTAAAGATGTGTTTCGGTTTTGGATTTCAATGCCGACTTTCACCCTTTCCTCCCATTGCCCCTCCCCTACCAAAAGAAACAACAACAAACAAACCCAACAACCAACAACACACCGCACCCCACCCTTTTTTGTCTCCCCACTTACACCCATAACAACTCACACTGACGAAGCAGTTGCAGGTCTTGTGGAATTAATGCAAGCATCTAGGTTTTTTTAATCCACAGGAAAAAGTGTCAGAAGCGGAAATATATTTTGGCACCCTGTTAACAATTTTTATCAAGCTAGGCGTGGGTGCACAAGATAGCAATTCGAATCTCCAATAGGATGCTCTTGAATCTGGGTCGGTTGGTGAGTTTTCAAGGCTTGCCTTCTACTTGGTTTGACATTATCGGAGATTGACGTTAAATCTGTTCTCGCCCAAAAGAAAACCCAGATCGTTTTGAAAACATAGAGCTGATTGGATATGAAGTAGGCGAGTAAAAGACAGGCTAAGACACGTAAATCTTACAGCGACTCATGTTCATTTTTTAACGATGGATTAGGCTTGCTCTGAACTTGATCTGCTAGGATAAAAATACAGTTTGTGAATGACATAACTTTTTTTCACTTGACTGATAACATATTATTCTACCGGAATTGTCGTAAGTTCAGGGCCAGTGCCTTGATCATTTTTTTCTAAAAATGTATCCATTCTGTTTTCACTTGACCCTTTATATTAGCCCCTTTATACAAGCATGTTTTAACCGACGAGACGCCATAATCAGACAGCCACCAGAACAATCAGTATGGATACATTGCGGGCTTTGGTGCTGGGGGGAACTGAGCACTTATGGACCTGTCGGTATGCTATGACGTTGTTGCCCATGAGGACAGGTAATGCAGGTAATACAAGTCACAATCAAACATCAGAATAGTATATTTGAGGCTTCGTGAATCGACTATCGTCTTCGCAAGAAGCTTATTTCCTGCAGAAGTTCAAGACTTAGTGGGAGGAGCAGAAGGCATTGGAATCAACCATTGCTTGGAACCGTCAGCATCTACACACTTCGAGATGTGCTTCTTCAGGGGACGGAGCGCTTATGGGGATGCCTCTTGTGCAGTGATGTCGGTCCTTCACACAAGTAAACAAGTAAAACAAGTTCTTTTCTGGTGGAGCCAACACATAAAAGAACTAATCAGCCTACCTTCCAATTCCTCTCACCTCATCACTTGTTTTCCTATAAATTTCAGTACCCCCTTGACTATTTTCTATTTGTATCAATCATCATAGCACAATTTTCACAGTTCTGCCTGTTTTTGCTCCCCCCCCCCCTCTCTCTCTCTCTCTCTCTCTCTCTCTCTGTCTCCCTCTCTCTCTCTCTCTCTCTCTCTCTCTCTCTTTTTTCTCTTCTATGTCCGTCTGTTTCTCTCTTAGTCAGTTTTTCCCTTTCTCTGTCTCTTTCTCTCTCTCTCTTCTCTCTTTCTCTCTCTCTTTATTTTTCTCTCAGCCAAATTCTCCCACCCCTCTCTCTCCCCCCTCCCCCCCCT